TTTTGCCGACTGTATTAGTTAAAAACTCTTCAAGAGCAACGTGTTTTATATAAAAAAATTTATATCCTTCATCTGTAAATGACAAAAACGGATTAAAGGCGTTAAGAAATAAATAAATTTATGGATTCTTTGAAATAAGAAGTCACAAACCCGTTATTTGATACAGAAGATATTCCTTAATTTTTTTTAAATTTAAACGATATTTTGTTTTTGTTTACAGCTATCTTAAGCTTTTTTTCGTCTTACTTACAGTTTTGAAACTCTAAAAATATTAATTTTTTACTAATTTGTCAAAAAATTTATTGCTTGGGAAATTCACCTGTACGAATAAGAGCATCTTTAATCTCACTTTTGTCTCCAATTGCTGCTTCAAAAAAAGTACCATTATAACTTTCGACTAAGGCTTTGTTATAAACTACAGAAGGATCTACGCCAAAAAATTCGCATTGCTTAGGAAAAACTTTTCTGAGTGACACTTCCGCTTCAACCAATTTTCCAATTCCCAGTGTAATTGCTAAACAGCGTTCACTGTCCTGTAAAGTTATTTTCCCACTGAAATTCTTTGATAAAAATGCACAGTATTTTTAGAAATAAACTCTTCTTTGAGATGCTAATGAAAAATCTACTACAATTTGATAGATGTTGAATTTTACATTTAGTTGTCGTACAGGTAGCTTGACATGTTTATACTCAAATTCGTTTTTCAAAGCCAAAAGCGGAAGATTTTCATCGGTTTTTGACAGCCTTTCACACAAAGAAATATACATTTTGTATTTCCGATATAACTAAAAAACAGCTCTGCATAAATCTAAAAGAACTTTGCAGTTTTAGATAAAAAAATCGAACTATAAAATAATATACATTGAACGGTTTCATTCCTAAAAGAGCTTTTCGTGAACACGACATATACTCATTTATCCAGGTCAGCTTTTCCAGATGATCCTAAAAAAAGTACTGCACTGACAGACAAAATGTTCTGTTTTGGGTTCTACTTGTTTTTTGGCTCGTTGAACAGTTGTCGCAGTTACCTGCTAAAAACAGCTTAGCAGCATAAACTTATAACACCTGTAACAAAACTTTGCTTGTTTTTTTTTTCATCTTAAAATATTTCTTTGCAGATTTCAATGCTAAAAACTGAAAAACATTTCAGTAATTATACGTTACAAATTCTTAGTATTTTTCAAAGCTTATAGCTTGAGCAAAAAATGTCTAGAGGTATGTATAAAAGAAGACATCTGGCAAATGGTG